GTGGGATGCCTGGCTCTGACCCCCCGACTCTGACATCCTCACCTTACTGCCCAGCCTGGGGCCGGGCTCATGGACCCTCCTGTCTGTCCTCCCTCCTGACAGACTCCACCTCGCTTGACCTTGAGTCCCGGCCCATTCTCCCTGCGCCCCCAGCCACACTGCCCGCAGGGGTAGCAGAGGCTCGGGAAGGCCCAGAACAGCCTGACAAGGTAAGGGGAGGGCTCAGCAAGGAGGGCTGTGTGTCTCTGGACCCAGACCCTTCTCTAACTGCTTATGGCCTTTTCAGAGTCCTGTTTCTGGTCGGAATAAATCAAAAGGTAAGAGACGTACTTGACTGGCTGGGGGTCCCTGATACGAGCTCTTCGAAGTCTTTACAGTGTTTGGCAAGACCACCCCTCCCATTTCACACACAGCCTGTGCTTCCAGCCTGGGCCTCTCACCAGCTCTGTGACTTTGGGCTCCTCTGATCTTCCATTTCCTCGTCTCTAAAGCGGAAGAGTCAGCCCTGCTTCAGGGAGACACCTCTAACATTTCAAGCACAGAGAACGGGTTCAGAAAGATCAGCTGGGAATGCTGGTGGGGGGGGCAGGGAGCAGGTTTGGGGGTCCAGGACGCCTCGCCAGCCCCTAACCCCCCGGGCCGGGCCGTGCTCCCGCAGGCGTGGCGACGCGACTGAGTCGCCGGCGGGTGTCGTGCCGGGAGCTGGGCCAGCCGGACTGTGATGGCTGGCTCCTGCTGCGCAAGGCGCCCGGTGGCTTCATGGGCCCACGCTGGCGCCGCTGCTGGTTTGTGCTCAAGAGACACACGCTCTACTGGTACCGCCAGCCTCAGGTGAGCCCCCCGCCACACGCACGGGTCCGCAGGGGGGTCAGAGCCACGGTTCTTGTCCTTATTCCGCCGGTGCCCCCATCTGTGGTCACAGGCAGCCCACAGCGCACCCCCCCCCGCCCGCCCCCAGCCCTATCTGGAAAACGAGATCGCTCTTTGGAAAGAAACGAATGGAAATGTGCATGAAAGCAGGCTGAGAAAGGCGTCACGGGCAGTGTGGAGAGTCACGTTTGCTCGCCCACCCCCCCTTCCTCTTCTGTCACTCCGTCTATCCTGCTTATTCATTCAGTGAGCGTTCAGGGTCCTGCTGTGTCCCCAGCTCTGGGCTGCATACTAGGGACATAGGGCAGACTGGGACAGCCCTGCTACTCCAGGCTGGTAGCGGGGAGGATGCGTGCACACTCAAGGACAGCTTGGGGAATGCACGCTATGATGAAGGAAAAGCCCAGGGATGGGTAGGAGGAGCCCAGCGGACGTGGACAGTCCAGCCTGAAGAGTCGAGAAGGCCCCCTGAGAAATCAGTACCTGGGGGTTAGTCAGATGGAAAGGAGAAAAAACCAGGAAGGGAGAAGAGCGCTTGCAAAGCTCAGGGGTATGGAGCAGTTCCTCTGTCTCTAAAACAGAGCAAATGCATAAGCAGTCTTTTCTTTCGTGGCTGTTTTCCTGGATAGCTTTGGCTCCCCTTTCCTGCCTCAGAGGCTCCCCTTGGTCTCACCCTCTGCCCCCACCCCAGATTCCTGCCCTGAGCCCTAGGCACTGGGAGATTTGGGGGGAGTTGTTTTTGTTTTTTAAGATTTTGTTTATTTATTTGAGAGAGAATGAGAGAGAGAGAGAGAGAGAGAGCATGAGACGGGGGAGGGTCAGAGGGAGACTCAGACTCCCTGCTGAGCAGAGAGCCCAGTGCGGAACTCGATCCCAGGACTCCAGGATCATGACCTGAGCCGAAGGCAGTCGCTTCACCTACTGAGCCCCTCAGGTGCCCGGCACTGGGAGAGTTGTGGTTGGAGAGCCCAAGAGCCACTCTCTCCCCTCTCTACCCCCTGGAGCCTGACTGGGCCTCCAGGGTAATGGGGCTGCAAGCTGACCCTCACACTGTGATTCCCCCCAGGATGAGAAGGCTGAGGGCCTCATCAATGTTTCCAACTACAGTCTGGAAAGTGGACAGGATCAGAAGAAAAAATAGTTAAGTCCTGGAGTATGACACACCGGGGGAGTGGGGCGAGAAAGGGAGAGAGAAGAAGTGGGGGGTGGGGGGCAGCAGGTAGCTGCATTCCCAGGGCAGCCTCACGGGTTCTGGATGGGCACAGCCAGGCTGAGTGAGGCGCCCCTGCTCCCTGACAGTGTGTTCCAGCTCACCCATGACGTGTACAAACCCTTCATTTTCGCTGCTGATACCCTGGAGGATCTGAGCTTGTGAGTGCCACCCCCTCTGACCCCCCAGCTCCCATGTGAGTGCTTGCGAGCCTGGCTCAGGAACCTAGATTCTGATCCCAGCTCTCTGATAGTAGCTGATCAAGGCACTCACTTCTCCAAGCCTCCGTTTCATCATCTATAAAATGGGTTAATAAGAGTTCTTACCTCTCAGAGGTGCTCTGAGGATTAAGTTAGAAGATGATACAGGTGAAAATCCCCTGGCATACAGTAGATGAAAACTGCAAGACCCGTTTGCCCCTCCACAGGTGGGTGCGCCATCTCATTACCTGCATTTCCAAGTACCAGTCTCCAGGGCAGGCCTCCCTGCCCCGAGAGGAAGGTGGGTGTCTCACAGGGGTGGTTCCCACCAGGTCTCAGCTGAGCCTCTGTCTTTCCGGGAATGGGGGCTGGGAGCTCCAATGCTCTATCCTGCTCCCTGGCCTCCCAAAACCCTGTGAGGCTCAGTGGGCTCCCCATCTGCTCCACCCCCCCACCCCACCCTACCCCCCGCAGACTGCTACAGTGAGACAGAAGCAGAAGACCCTGACGATGAGGCTGGGTCCCGCTCAGCCTCGGTGAGTAGGAGACAGGTGGGGAGCAGATAACAGGCTACAGGGCTCAGAATGATACCCACCTCTCCTTCCACCCTGCCCACAGCCCAGCCCAGCCCAAGTTTGGAGTCCACTCCATGGAGACACGTCACCCACAGCCACCCCCATGCAGGGCAGCCCACGGACTTCCTTTGGCCCACCAACAGGTGTTCTGCTGGGGTTCAGAGCTGAGATGGAGGGTGGGGGGACCTGGGATGGGCACATCCTCATCTGCTTGCCCCTCCCGCAGACACCAGTGAAGGGGCGCTGGAAGGAATGGTGCAGGGGCTGAGGCAGGGTGGCGTGTCCCTCCTGGGCCAGCCGCAGCCCCTCACTCATGAACAGTGGCGGAGCTCTTTCATGCGGCGCAACCGAGACCCCCAGCTCAACGAGCGAGTGCACCGCGTGCGTGCGCTACAGAGCACGCTCAAGGTCAGCGGGAGGGCACCGGGCATGGTGAAGGACGGGGCTCTGGGCTTTTGGTTCTGGTTCCTGGCCCTGAGCTCTGGGCTTAGCTGTGGACTGGGCCAAGTTCTAGGTTCTCAGAGTCAGCCTCCCAATGTGAGGATCAGGGCTAGACTGGGCCAGGTGCTGGGTTCTAAGCCCTGGACTCCAGAGTGAGCTCTGGACTTGGGCTCTGCCCCTCTACCTGGGTGATCATGGCGCCTTAGCCACTGCTCTCTTCACAGGCAAAGCTGCAGGAGCTGCAGGCCTTGGAGGAAGTGCTAGGTGACCCCGAGCTGACAGGAGAGAAGTTCCGACAGTGGAAGGAACAGAACCAAGAGCTTTACTCAGAGGGCCTAGGAGGCTGGGGAGTGGTGCAGGCTGAGGGCCACTCCCAAGTCCTGAGCTCTGACTCCAGAGAACAGTCTTCCCACCCCCTGCCCTCTGACCCTGAGGAGCAGTCCTGTCTCTGCCCCCTGACCCCAGAGAGCAACCTCCGACCTTCTGACCTCTGACCCTGGTCAGTACCCTGGCTCCTGACCTCTGGCCTTGAGAACCACCTCAGCCCCCAAGCCTCTGACATGTCTAGGACAGAGCATCCCCGGGTTCTGTTCAAGGCTGGAAGTAGTGCTAGTCCATGTGTCACCCCAGAGGCCCCCCTTTGCCTATGCGTCCACCATTTCTGCTCCTCCCTCCCCTAGAGTGGGGTAAAGTGAAGTGAGCTCTGTGTCATCCTCTCTTGCCAATGAAGGAATGGAAAGCTGGGCTGAAAGAAATTCTCTCCCACATCATCCTCCCACCCATGGGGGTACAAACCTGTCCCCCTCCATCTCTGGCCCTTCTCCCTTCCCCAAACCAGTCTTGTATAGGTGTTCATTTTACACAAACACTTTCAACAAAATAAAATCAGTTTATCTAAAATGAATCTACATGTGCCTTTGACTTCCGTATTAGAACCAGAAATCTGCTCCTGGAGGGGACAAGAATGGAAAGTATAAGAAGGACATGAATGTAACTAGTCTTGGTAACTAGTTAGTCTTGTAACTAGTGGTTGGCAACTAACTTGGTAACTAGATCGTCTTGGTAGCTAGTCCACCATGTGTGCAGACCAGTGGCCTGGGCCCTGTAGCTGAAGTGTATGCCTGTCAGGATGCTGGGTTGCTGATCCGTGGCTAGTGAGAGCTTCCAAGTATGCCCATCTCTTCCCAGCCCTTCGGAGACCAGGGGGTGTGCTCCTGCCCCATCCCCAGGGGGGCACAAAGAGAAACAGAGACCGGCCTTTCACTCCGGATGGAGAAGCACACCTTGCATGGAAGGACAGGCTGGGTAGCCCTGGAGCCTGGGGTCATGGACGGTGTAGCCGGTGGGGAGGGGTACAGGCTGAGGTTGGCTGGGAGGAGGGCCTCCGGGCCAAGCACCTCTCTTCTCTCCTCCCAGTCTCACCTCCAGCTCCTGGACCCAGAGTAGGGACATGTCCCTGTGTCTCCCTCCAGGCTGCACAAGAGACCTAACCTGCTCCCATCGGCCTCTGACCTCTAACCCCAGCCCAGCTCCTGAGTGTCCCTGGCTTCCTCCGTGGGGTACCGAGGGGAGTCAGTGGTGTCAGAATTCCCTGGTGGAACGCAGACAGCTGGAGGTCACAGAGTCCTCTATGATATCACCACGAGGGGGAGCAAGACCACTCGGAATGAAGTTTCTTTGACGGGTGGGAGGAGACTGAGAGCTATGCTAGGTAACCAAAACAGCTGGCGGCCCCAGTGGACCGACACCAATATTAAACCTTTGAATGTCATGGTAGGTGGCCCCCGCCTCGGTGCACCTAAGCTGGGCATGCCAGGGAGGGGCGGGGCGCGGGGGCCCGTGGCTGCACTGACGGGCCCCCTGCTCACCCTCGCAGAGGGCTGCTCACGAGCCCTATGCCTGGCCGGAGGAGCAAGTGCTCATCAACCGCCAAGACATCATTAGCACCAAGGTAAGGAGGGGGCTGGGGCGGCAGCCTGCAGCAACCCCCACCCCACAGTCACCCTTCTGCAGCTGCTCCCGCGGGCCAGGGGTCACCTCCCCAGCAGTGACCCCTGCGGTGATCCCTCATGGCATGTTAGTACCCGCCTGGCAGTGCTCCCCACGGGAACCCCTAGATAATGACAGTCGCTCGCCAGCAGAGCCCCTAAGGGTCGCCCTTGCAATGACTCTCGCAAAGATTCCCCAGCAGTCACCCCCTTTCAGTGGCCATTTAGGTAGTGACCCCTACATCAATTCCCCCATTTCAAGACCCCTCTCCGGCAACTTCTCCCCCTAGAGTGGCCCTCCCCTAGGGGCCCCCATTCACTGAGAACAGACGTCCAGGCAGAGCCCTCCCACAGTGACACCTGCCTGAAGGAAGGTCCCCCACCCTCTCCCAGGATGCCTGGGACATCCAGGAGTTCATCACTCGCATGTATGTCAAGCAGCTGCTTCGACACCCGGCCTTCCAGCTGCTTCTGGCCTTGCTGCTGGTGGTCAACGCCATCACCATTGCTCTGCGCACCAACTCCTTCCTTGGCCAGGTGGGACTCCAGCCCAACCTCTGTCCCCACTGATCTAACGGGGGCCTGGACAAGGCACTTTTCTCTCTGGGCCTCAGGCTCCTCATTTGCTCAGGACGATTACACTGAATGTTCTTCAGGGGCCTGTCAGCTCTCACCTTCAAGGAAACTAGAGATCAAGGAAGACTTCATGGTGGAGGGGGCCTAGATGTGAGGAAAGCATTGGATTTGTAGAGAGAGAGGGCAGGAGAAAAATGATGTGAGCAGAGGCAGACAAATGGGTGCCTGGTGGGGGAGGGTATCCCATTTTAATCAGTAGTCACTATGAGAAGATTGCTCAGTGCCAGGGTCCTAGGTATGATCACAGCAGACACAAACATGTCATTATGGATGCCTGAGTGTCGTGGAGTGCGTGGGAGCTCAAAGTAGGCATCAAACCTACCTAATCTGTATGGTCAGGGAAGGCTTCCTGGGGAAAAGAATGCTTCAGGTGGGAATAAAGAGTAAGTGGGAGTCAGCCAGGCAGAGGGAGGTGGGAAAGAGTGTTCGGGGGTGGAAGAAACAGCTTGTGAACAAGTTCTGTGTGTCCATCTTGAAGTCCAGTATGATTTTGTGCTTATTCTTGATGTTTTAATTTCCTACAAGGAGTGTACTTCATACATGAACTGTGCTATTTGAAATTGGTATTTTAAAAATGTCCAGTGCAGTAGCTGATGATTTCAGAGAGGTGGTCAGCAGCTAGCTGGTGGAGGGTCTTTAAGTTATCTTAAGGAGGATGGCCTCTATCCTAGGTCATTGGAATGCCAGGGAATGGTTTAAAGCATGGAAGTAACATGACCAGATAGGTGTTTTAGAAAACTTACACTTGCTCACCCAGGGTGAACCACAGGAGGGAGGGTGTTGGGAATGGAAAAAGATGGACCAGGCAGACTGTGTTGTGATGTTCAGTGAAAGATGATGGGGCTTGGACCTGGGCAAAGGCCATGGGTAAAAGAGGTCCCATGCATCTAAAGCTCTCTAGGAATCGAATCCATGGGCCTCCTGACTGCTTTTTTTTTCTTTCTTTCTTTCTTTCTTTCTTCTTTCTTTTTCTTTCTTTCTTTTCTTTCTTCTTTCTTTCTCTTTCTTCTTTCTTTTTCTCTTTCTTTCTTCTTTCTTTCTCTTTCTTCTTTCTCTTTCTTTTTCTTTCTTTAAGATTTATTTATTTGGGAGAGAGACAGAGCGAGCAGGGGGAGGGGGCAGAAGGAGAGAGACTCTCCACTGAGCGGGAAGCCTGATGTGGGGCTTGATCACAGGACCCTGAGATCATGACCTGAGCCGAAATAAGAGTCAGATGCTTAACCGACTGAGCCACCCAGGCGCCCCCTGATTGCTTTTCTTTACAACAAGCAGTGAACACTTAATATGTGCTACCCTGTTTAACATACCTCATCCTCTCACACACATACTGAAAGGGAGAGGAAGGAGTTACATTTCTGGCTTGAGCAACTGTGTGGGGACGGTGCTGTGTGTTGGGATGTGGGGGACACAGGGTAGCGAGCAGGTTTGGGGAGGACGCTGAGGTCGGTTCGGGGTGAGTAGTGTCGTAGTTGGAGGGGCCGGGGCAATATCCACCCAGAAATGTCTAGGGAGAGGTTAGAGGCCAACTCTGAAACCCTGCCGGGAAGTCGGGGGCAGAGATGACAACGTGAGGGTTGACAGCATCTGGGTGGATGGTTGCCAGAAGCTAAAGGAGGAGATGAGGCCACCTGGGGAGAGGGTGTCCAGTGAGAAGGGAAGAGCACCAGGACAGAGCTCTGAGGAGAGCCTCCCAGTGAAGGACAGAGGACGGAGGTGGTGGCAGGAAAGGAGACAGAGGAGGGGTGGCCCGAGGCGTGGGAGGGTGCGGGAGAATGTGCTGGGGTGCTGCCAGGGAGGAGGTGCAGGGCCAGAAGAGGCAAGAGAGGAGGCCAGAGAAGGATCGCGGAGCATCCCTTGGGTTTAGTTCCTGTGGCCTTGACAAGAGTGGCCTCCGGTGTGGTGGAAGCAGAAACCCAATAGCCAAGATGGCAGAATGAGTGGACTGCAGGGCAGCTTCCACCCCTCCCGGATCGTGAGATCGGTTCAGACTGCAGAAATCAGCATTCTGAGATAGAATGAAGTAGAATGAAAAAGAATGAAATAGAAGTTGTATGTGTGCATGTGAGAGAGAGAGAGAGAGAGAGAGAGAGAGGGAGGGCGGGGGCAGGAGGGAGACAGAGTCCTCTGCTGTGAAATATAAAATACATCAATCTTACTGTGGGTCCCAGTCAAAAGTGCTAAAAGCCCTGGTAGAGGATACGTGTCCATGAAGGTCAAATCCTAGAGGCCTGTGAATGCCAGACAGGTTTTGACCTGATTCAGACCCTGCAGGCCATTGGGAGCCATGGCAGGCTTGAGGGTAGAGGAAGCAACTCTGATTTAGCTATAGATGCTCATGACTTGGAGAAGGCAGGAGGACTATTTAGGAAGCTCTTGCAGTAAATAATGAGGAGAGCTCACTCACTGTTGCCTCCCAGGGCCAGCGGGATGAAGCTGAGGAGACAGATGATGGGAAAGAAAGTCCTTCCTTGTTGTAGACAGACATCCCTGGCCTGTGATGCCCTTTGGGAATTTGGAACAGGTAGGGAGCCCATAATCTTAACCTCCCATTGGGGTTTAAGAAGCTCTGCTCAGCCTCTCATTGGCCAGTGGATATGGGTGATGGCAAGGTGTGGGGACCAGGAGGACTCTGTGTGTGGCAATGAGCCTTGAGGCACTGAGTCTGTTGGCCATGGAAGTGAAGGAAGGGAGGAGTCCTTACAAGACTTTGGTAACTGTCAGGGTGGACTAGGGGGCTCTAGGAGCTGTAAATGGGGTCACAAACTATAGTAGGGTCACAGCTTCATGAGCGATTAGGGGAAAGTGAGTTGGATTTTGAAAAGAATTCAAGGTCATCAAGTCATCCATCCATCCATCCATCCATCCATCCATCCATCCATCCATCCATCAACCTACCCAGGGAGCTGGACCCATGACTGGGGGGGATACGCAGGGGTTTGGCCAGGCCTTGCCTGGGGGATTCGGGAGCTGGAGCAGCAGGAGTGGTTGGGACAACCAGAGAAGGAAGGGTGGGGCTTGGTGTCCACCAACTAAGGGGCCAGGCCCTTCCTTCCCACTCCTGGAGCCTGTTCCGCCTCTCCCCAAGCCCTCTTATTCACATATCCCTACTCTAGAGGTTAGGAGCAAAGGTTTATAGCCAGACAACAGTTTTTATTGCTAACTGTCTGACTTTGGGCACCTCTCTGATCCCTCGTCTGTGAGATGGGAGTAAAATCTACTTTGTAGAATGATGGTGATGCTAACATGAATGGCAGGCGTACATGGAAAATGTGCTCTAAAGGGAGCTGCAAAGATGCTGAGGATGAAGAGCAGCAGGAATATGAGCCTTCCTTCCCCTGCAGACACCCCCTGTCCCTGGCCTCACCCAGGCTCTGCTCCCCTGACCTCTCGGCCCCTGTCTTTTTCTCTGTCTTCCATGTAGAAACACTATGAGTTGTTCTCTACCATAGATGACATTGTGCTGACCATCCTTATCTGTGAGGTTCTCCTCGGCTGGTTAAATGGCTTCTGGATTTTCTGGAAGGTGAGATCCTGGGCCCTCCCTGCTACTGCCCCAACTCCTCCTTAGGGACTGCACCCCACCCCTGTGCTTCAGGCCCAACAAGGTGAGAATGTGTCTGTGTGTGTGAGTATGTGGTGTGGAGAGAGAGACTACTTCTTTTTTTTTTTTTTTTAAAGATTTTATTTATTTATTTGACAGATAGAGACACAGCGAGAGAGGGAACACAAGCAGGGGGAGTGGGAGAGGGAGAAGCAGGCTTCCCGCTGAGCGGGGAGCCCGATGTGGGGCTCGATCCCAGGACCCTGGGATCATGACCTGAGCCGAAGGCAGACACTTAATGACTGAGCCACCCAGGCGCCCGAGAGAGACTACTTCTGAGATGTCTGTGATGCAGCAGAAAATAATTTGTCCTAGAAGTGCAGCCTCCCTGGGTTCCAGTCCCTGGGTTAGCCTTCCCCAGTTCTGCGATCTTGGGAAAACCTTAATTTCCTTACCTGAGAAATGGGTTTGAGAGTCTCCACCTTAATTTATAGGGTTCAAGAGCAGAGGTCAGCAAACTTTCTGTAAAGGGCCGTGGGCTATACAGTGTCTGTTACAAACACTCACCTCTGCCGTGGAGCACAGAAGCACTGTAGACAATCCAGACAAACTGAGCATGGCCGTGCTCCCAGGAAGCTTTATTCACAGACACCGAAATTTGAACGTTATATGTCACATGTCACAAAATGTTCTTTTGATTTTGCCCCCTAACCATTTAAAAATATAAAAACCATTCTTAGCCTGAGGGCCTTACAAAAATAGAGGCTGCTGGCCAGATTTGACCCACAGCCTATAGCTTGCTGACACCTGTTCGGGAAAGTGTCAGAGAGCTATCTGGGTGGGAACAGGTCTTTTTTTCTTTTTAAGATTTTATTTATTTATTTGACAGAGAGATTGACAGTGAGAGAGGGAACACAAGCAGGGGGAGTGGGAGAGGGAGAAGCAGGCTTCCCGCTGAGCAGGGAGCCCGATGCAGGGCTCAATCCCAGGACCCAGGGATCATGACCTGAGCCGAAGGCAGACGCTTAACAACTGAGTCACCCAGGCGCCCCAGGAACAGGTCTTAATGCTACATTAAATGAGGCGAAGACTCAAGCTTTGTTTCAATAGGACTTCTCCAGTCAAGTGATTTCTGAAGTCAAGGTATTTATTTTGCCTTTGGGCATGTTTGAGAAGAGGCTTTAAAAAACCTATCAGGGGCCTCAATCAGTTGAGCATGCAACTCTTGATCTCAAGGTTGTGAGTTCTAAGCCCTATGTTGGGTATAGAGATTACTTAAAAATAAAATCTTCAGGGGCACCTGGGTGGCTCAGTGGATTGAGTGTCTTGATTTGATTGAGCCAAAATCCTCTTGGTTTCGACTCAGTCGAGCCCCATGTCAGCTCTGTGCTCAGCAGGGAGTTTGCTTGGAGATTCTCTCCCTCTCTGCTCCTTTCCCCATGCACTCTCTCTCTCTCTCTCAATTAAATAAATCTTTTTTAAAAATTAAAAATAATAAAAATAAAATATTTTTTAAAACTATCAAGTATTTATACTTTCATAAAAATGAAGTATCATTTATTTATTTTTTAAAAGATTTTATGTATTGATGTATTTATTTATTTGTGAGAGAGACCAGAGCAAGAGAGAGCATGAGTTGGGGGGGAGGGGAAAGGGAGAAGGAGAAGCAGGCTCCCTGCTGAGCAGGGAGCCCAATGTGGGGCTCGATCCCGGGACCTTGGGATCATGACCTGAGTGGAAGGCAGATACTTAACCAAGTGAGCCACCCAGGCGTCCCGGAAGTATCATTTAAATACCATTACCAGGGGGTGCCTAGGTGGCTTAATCAGTTAAAAAAGTGACTTTGGCTCAGGTCATAGTCTCAGGGTCCTGGGATCAGCCCCATATCTGGCTCCCCACTCAGTGGGGAGTCTGCTTGTCCCTCTGTCCCTCCCCCCACTCCTGCTGTCTTTCAAGTAAATGAATAAAATCTTAAAAAAAAAAAAATACCATTACCATTACCATTACCATTACCATTACCATTACCAAATACCAATACCATTACCAGGACAACCAATTAGAATTATAAGCTTTCCAGAGGTTTCACTCCATAGAACACAGAGCGTAGAACCCAGAACATTTCTGAAATCTGGATGTCTTAAAGACTGCTTTGTGCAAACAACATTTGCAAGGATGTTTATTAAGAGAAAATAGAATGGGCTGGTGCATACTTACATGTTTCCACACTCAAGAGGAGAGTAGGTACCGTGCTTTTTGTGAACATTTCAATGCACCACTTTCTCAGAACTAGCCCTAGGAAGCAGGCAGAAATCTGTTCCATAAGAGAAAACATTTCCTCCTTCATACCTTCTTGCAATTTCTTTTCAGCAGCAGTTAGGGGGGCTGCATGTTCTTAACAATGATTTTTTATTTTTTTTATTCTTGTTTTTTTAGGTAAGCTCTACGCCCAGTGTGGGGCTTGAACTCATGACCCTGAGATCAAGAGTCCCACGCTCTACTGAGCCAGCCAGGTGCCCCAGGGGGCCTGCCCCAGGGTTTCATTAGCACAAGAGAATTGAAGCAAGGCTGAGAATCTTATGCACTAGCCAAGGTGGGTGCTCAGCTTAGGAATCAGCTGTGTGTATGTGAGAGTCTCCACTGTGTGTCTCAGACTGCACTTGGCTGTTGACACGCGTATGAGACAGCGAGTAAGCCTGGATGTTTTGTGGCATATTTGGGGGGCAGCAGGAGAAGTAACAGCAGTGGATGGCCGATGACTGGCGCTGCCCTGAGAGGAACATTGAGCCCCCCATCCTTGGGCTGGTGGGAGGGCAGACCCAGGATGTCCCCACGGGCTGGGCCTGATACACCCCATTGGGGCTGGCCCACCCCCCCATCCCCCACCACCCCCAGGACGGCTGGAATATCCTCAACTTCCTTATCATCTTTATCTTGCTCCTGGGGTTCTTCATTAATGAACTCAGTGTCAACGCTATCACCTATACCCTCAGGTGAGCTGGGGAAAAGAAGGGAAATGTCCAGACCAGGGGAAAGACAGGGGGTGGGGATCATCTCTTACCCTCTGGGCAGGTCAGGGGGCAGTGGGCAGGAGGGGTCTGGGAGGGGCTGAGGGGCACCCCTGACAGGCTCTGCCGCAGGGCGCTTCGTCTGGTGCATGTCTGCATGGCGGTAGAGCCTCTGGCTCGGATCATCCGTGTCATCCTGCAGTCGGTACCCGACATGGCCAATATCATGACCCTCATCCTTTTCTTCATGCTGGTCAGTGCCCTCCCCTACTCCCAGCTGCTCCCTTTCCTTGACCAGGGACCCTGGGTCATTGGGGATGGGGGTGGGGTGTCTGGAAAGGAGGAGAGGCCTCTGGGCCTGAGTCCCTGGGAATCCCTTGGCAGTGTCCATTTGCATGGCATCTGCATGTCCTGTCTCCAGGTCCTTGGGTAAAGTTCAGGCATCTTCTTTCGTCTCTCTGGCAGGTGTTTTCCGTGTTTGGGGTCACTCTGTTTGGTGCATTTGTGCCCATGCATTTCCAGAACATGCAGGTTGCCCTGTATACTCTCTTCATCTGCATCACCCAAGATGGCTGGGTGGACATCTATAATGACTTTCAGTGAGTGCCTGCGGGGTGTCTGTCCCCACCCCACCCCCCAGTGGGGCAAGGCAGTGGGAGTGGAGCTCCAGGGCTTGGGAGGAGGATGGCCCACCAGGAGGGGGCTGCCTGGGGCTTCAAATCAGGGAAAAGGAGACCCCCCTAGGACTGGCCTTGGTCTGCTGGAAGCCTTGTCCCCTTTGAAATTCCACCCATTAAAAGTCCTACCACAGACCTGTTCATGAAGATGTCCCCTGTCACGCTAAACAGCTGGGTAGCGAGGATGCCTCGAGCAAGAGAGCAGATCTGTGGTTTCAAGACAGCCTCCCAGCCCACATTTGAGCCCACCAAGCTGCCTGGACTCCTGGGAACTTAAGAGTCTCATTTCACTCATTCATAGACCCGCTGCCCAAGGTCATTTTTGGCCACAGATGGCCACCAGGTTCTGTTCTTTACTTCTTTTCCATTACGTCTAAACCCTATTTGTTCTTTAAATTTTTTATTGTTATGTTAATCACCATACATTACATCATTAGTTTTTGATGTAGTGTTCCATGATTCACTGTTTGTGCATAACACCCAGTGCTCCACACAGAACATGCCCTCTTTAATACCCATCACCAGGCTAACCCATCCCCCCAGCCCCCTCCCCTCTAGAACCCTCTGTTTCTCAGAGTCCATTGTCTCTCGTGTAAACCCTATTTGTTTCCAGTCCACTCCGGGGAGTGGGTCCCCCTGACTGATTTCTTTTTATCTCTTGTGAGCGCAGAAGCACAGTTGGTAAAGGGCTTCTGCGGGCATTACCCAGTATGATGTAGGTGGTGGAAAAATCACAGGGTGTGCAATAAAGATAGACTGGACACTGGGCTTTTGAGTATTTGCTCCACCACACTAGCCGTGCCACCTTGGGCAAGTTACTTCGTCTCTTCTGAGCCTCAGCTTCTTCACCTGCCAATTGGGAATTAGAATAATTAATTATGTCTGAATTGCTGTGAGGATCAATAAGAAAAGCTGTATAAATCTCTTAGCATAGAGCCTGGCACAGAGTATATATATGTACATACACGTGTGTGTGTGTGTGTGTGTGTGTGTGTGTGTGTGGAAAGAGAGAGAAAGGGAGAAAGACCTTATTACTTAGGAAAATATTTTATGGGAGATTCATAATAAGGTATTAAGAGTGGCTGGGCTTTTTTCCTGTATATCTTCCTTCTTCCTTCTGATCCTTCTATAATGAGCTTGAATTACTTTCGATAATAAGAAAAACATGAATCAAGAGTATAGCCAACAGATTAAACCTGATAATGCCAATGTACAAATCCCCACCGTGGAGGGCTGGCTTGAGGCCCACGCTCTGTCTCTGACCGGACAGCAGGTGCTCAGCCAAGAGCAGCTACTTTGACAGTCAGAGCAGGGATTAGATCTGCCCACCAGCAGTGAGGTAGCAGAAGTCCTAGTAGGTCTTGAGATAATGTCCCCATTTCATAGATGGGGCGATTGAGACTCAAAGGGCCAGGGAGGTGATGGGGCTCCTGCCTGCCATCTCCAGGATGGAGACAAGAGAGTACGCAATGGAGATTGGGGGCGCCGTCTACTTTGCCATCTTCATCACCATCGGTGCCTTCATCGGCATCAACCTGTTGGTCGTTGTGGTGACCACTAATCTGGAGCAAATGATGAAGGCGGGAGAGCAGGGGCGACGGCATCAGATAAACCTCAGTGAGGTGAGTGGGGTGGGGAGGGCGGAAGGGAGGAGGGCGAACGCATGAGTGCTGACTTGAGCACGTGCACGTGTGTGTGTGTGCACGTGCATGCACACGCGCGCACGCTCAAGGGCCTGAAGAAAGTCAAGCCTGACACCTGGGCCAGCATCCCCCACCTTGAGTGCCATCTGAGGGGTGTGGATTTCCTAGATGTCTGGTTTCTATGGCAACTCAAAACTGAGTGGCTGGGTGACCTTAGGGCAGGTGACCAATCTAAGCCTCGATGTCTTCTTCTGTAAAATGGGAATAATAATAGTACTTCCTTCGTAGGACTATTATGAGAATTATATGGATAAATGAACAGTAGTTGGCACACATGTAGAATTCATTAAATGTTAGCTACGGTGCTATTCATTCAAGGGTAGGACTTCCAAAAAGCTGGTGGGGGTGGAGGGGGGAGTACTTCCCAAAGTGTTGTGGGTTGTGGGCTATGACTTGAGAGTAGGTAGGGCTTTAGAAGTTTGCTAGGTAGAAAAAAAAAAGAAGTTTGCTAGGTAGGGTTTATCAGGAGTGAAACTGGGTGCTAAGTTTTGAAAAGGGGTGAGAATTTTCCAAGAGGTAGAGGAGGGGCTTATGTATTTGAAGTTGGGCTCCCACAGCAGAGTAGGGGGGCTAAGATTGGTTAGAGCTGAAATGGGGGGCATTAGAACCCTGGTGTCCTAGGAGACTCATCCTCCCCCAAGCCAAGCAGGAAGGGCCTGGGGGAGGGGTGCCGGCTGAGCTGTCTGTCTCTTGTCTTCGCAGAGAGGCAAGCAGGACCTGGATGGAGGTAACGAGCTGCCCCTGGTGCACTGTGTGGTCGCCCGTTTGGAGATGTCCGGCGCCCCGCAGGAGCCGCTGTCGGGAGGCCACCTGTCTAACCTCTCAGAAAACACCTGTGACAACTTTTGTTTAGTGCTGGAGGCAATACAGGAGAACTTGATGCAGTACAAGGAGATCCGAGATGAGCTCAACACGTAGGGCGGGTACTGGGGGTACCCCGAGTCCCGTGAGTCCGGGCTGAGCAGAGCCTCAGATTCTTCTGGCTTCACACCCTCACCATTTTATAATGCGGACCCTGGGGCCCAGAGAGGTTTAAATGACTTGCGGGGCGGGGGGGCGGTCTGTGGGTAGAGGAGCTAGAATCCAGACCTTCTGGTTCCATCCATCTCACACGAGCATGCAGCTTGGCCTGGATCTCCATAGGAGCAAAGGGGGAGGCACAGCAGGGTGGATGCCAGGGAAGAGATGGGAGGGCAGACCCCCCTCTTCCGCCTCCCCCCCCACCCCAAGCTCCCTCAGCCCTCGGAAAGTATTCACCCCTCCGCCCCCAGGATAGTGGAGGAGGTCCGCTCCATCCGCTTCAACCAGGAGCAGGAGGAGGAGCTGATGCACAAGCACTTGTCACTGAGCCTGTCGGTGGTGAGCGGGTCCTCCCTGGACATCCGCGACATGACTTGCCAGCAAGACTTGATCACAGCGCTCATCAACAGGGAAAAGGTGCAGGCAGCTTCCCTCTCCTACCCAATAAGTGCTCGCCCGCCCTGCCCCCTAGCCACCCCCCGCCCAGCCCAGCCCAGCCCAGCCTCTGCCCCATTAGTCAAACTTTCTGTCTATTCCAAGATCTGATCCCCTGCCTGGACTCTCAGGCACCACGCAGCCAGCAGCCACCTCTGATCCATTAAGTTCCACCCTTTCCTCCCTGGAGAGGCTCTGCCCCCCACCCCCATCAGCCTCCTCCCACTGAGTCACTTAAGTCTCTTGACACCCTCAAACCTACCCCTTCTTAGGGTGGCTTGAGCCAGCTCAGTTTCTGCCTGGTGGCAGATACCTAGGCGCACCGTGGGCAGAGGATCCCTGGGTTCCCGCTAGAGTGCATCAGAACAGCCTCCTCTCCAGGGAGGAAGCTTCTAGGGAGAAACAGGCACACACCCTCATTACTTAGTTTCTTTCTCTGCTTCCCACACCACCTGACTGGGTTAGAATGACCTGGAGCCTCGTGGATGTCCACAGCCTGGGCTTCCAAGCTTGGAGAGGACACTAGGCAGCCAGAATTAGACAAGCCTGATGGTTTCACTGCTGAAGCTAGCGGAGGGGAGTGAGGGGCGTTTGCCATGTGAAGGTGGGAGATTGACAAACCCCTTGGTTTGCAGGTTCAGGAATCCAACACAAACATACTCCTTAACAAACACAAGACCAGCCGCTGAGAGGCAGGATGGGAGCCAAGGGGCCTGAGCCACACACACCCGCCTGCATCTTCCTGCATCTCTCCGTGACTTGGGACAGTCTGGCCTGAGCCCATCTTCTCCCTTACACTTAGGCAGATGCCTGAGGCTGTGAAGGAGGTGGCATCTCCAGGGCTTGTGTCTGTGAACCTCTGGTCCAGAGGAATTCAGATGGACAAGGATGCTGGATTAGAGAGGGAGCCCCACAGCAAAGAATGAGCCCAGAAGGGGGGTGCTGGCCAAGGCAGCCAGGATTTGTCCTAAGGATGGACTTCCCTGGCCCCCTGCTTTAGGCCAGAGCTAGCTGGGGCCCAAGTGCACCAGGAGGAGAAAGGTGAGGCCAGTGGGGCCAGGCATCTATGTATTGACAATAAAGTTTTGTGTTGGGATCACTATGTCTGACTGGTGGATCTCCAAACTTGGGGCAATCTTGCCCCAGGTCTGATGGGCAAGACAGATCTTTCCCCTCAAAAGCCTCTTTGTCTGATGGGAGAGTTACTGACTGCTCTCTAGAGCTTTCCAGTCTAATGGGAGAGAGAATGTACCCTGAAAATTTCTGACTTAATGGTAGGGATGTAATCTCCCTTTAGTGTTCTAAAATTTTTTGGTGGGGGAGGGGGTGGGAATCTGGTTCTCATGGTTGGGAGCCCCCGTCTGATGAAGGAGACAGCCCAAAGATAGAGAAGACTGGTCCTCATTCTGCGGGGCCCTAGTCTGTTGAGGTCATGCAGGTACAGGCAGTTCTATCCTGGGGCAATAGAGAATGACTGGCAAAGCATGGCTTCTGGCAGGCTTTCCAGAGGAGAGGAACACTGGAGCTTGCTGGAAGACCATAGGAGGAGTTTGTGGGTCAGGTGAATGAGATCTGGTGGGGTACTTGGGACCTGTTGAGGTCTCCTTGGGACCTTCACACTAGAGACTATTGAGAGCCAAAGCAAGTTCCTGAGCTAGGAATGCAAGTGTCTGAGAAAGCTGCGGCAGTCATAGGCATTAGGAAGAGCTGCCTTGGAGGACTGGCTTCTCATCCTTGGGTAAGTCATTGGGCCTCATTTTCCCCATCTGTGCAGTGGGGAGAGGATGAGATTGATCTGCAGCTCTTAGCCCAAGTATTGGGAGACCAGTAAGATCACCCATGTCATTGAGACTCAGATTCCCTGATGTTGGGTTGGGGGGAAGGCTGGAAGGCCCAGAGTTCTGCCCAACTGGTCAGCAAAGGCTGACAGGGACCTTGGGGATATTCACCAGTTGGAATGGGAGTCCCTAGAGGCCGACTCATTGCAGCTGATGGGAAACTTCACCCTCCATTCCCCTCTTGTCTGCATGGGTTCTAGCCCTATAAAGCCCGGGCCAGCCAGGAAGGGGTCTGGACCCCTGGGGACAGGGGTGATAGTGTACTCAGCAGGCAGATGAGACATGGCACCAGTGCCAGCCGTGCCTCACTGTCTTGGAGCTGCTGTCTGTCCCCCTGTTTGAGCTCAGTGCTGTCCAAGCCCATCAACCGCAGGGCCATGGGCATCTGGTGACTTTTGCTGCTACTGCTATTTCTTACGGATGGAGCCCTCAGTCTTCCTGGTGAGCACCCACCTTATTCCCTTCCCATCTGTCCTTCTCTGAGGGCTCTCACAGACCAGAAGAGAGGGGAAGAAGGTGACAAAAAAAGAGACAGAAGGTAGGGTCCCCAAGAAGATCTTATAATGTGAGTACAGTCATCACCCGCCCCAATCCTAAATTGTCTGAATGGCTTGGGACACCAATGAATTTGGAGGCAGGAGCATGACAGGATAAATTCCAAGGGACTTCTGGCTTTGCTCGTCCATCCTCTTCCAGAATGCTAGCTTTGTCTACTCCTGCCACCTTGTCTGTCAGCCCAGCTGTCTCTCCCTTGCTGTCTATCCTTCCCGTCTGTGCCAGGCCAATAGCTTGGGTAGTTCCCTCTCAAGATGGCCCAGAACTGGGGGTCCAGGGCGTTGGACCCCTGCTGCCCTCCCCTGCCCTACCCCAACGAGGAACAGCTACCACCTCCAATGCCTCACTGAACCTGAGGTAGGAGCGCAGCCCTGGATCCTGAGCTCCTAGGACAGTATGGGGGAAGATATTGGGAGGTGGCAGGAAAATGTAGGTCTCATCACTCCCATGAATCCATAATTTTGCCAGAGAGAAGTAACCTTGGCAAAGCACCCAGGAAGCAGATACCAATCTTGGTGAGAGGAGCAGAGGGGATAATCATTACCAGTAGCAGGTTCTACTTACTGAGCACCTACTATATGCTACGCACCATGCTAAGTGCTTTACAGGTGTTATCTCATTTAACCCTCATGACCATCAGTGAAGTGAGTGCTATTATTATTCCTGTTATATAGCTGAGGAAACTGAGCCTCATGAACTTGAAGTGATTTGTCCCTTATCACAGCTGGGATTCTATCCCAGGTCTGACTTCAGAGGCCAGTCTACACTCTACTGCTTCTCAAAAAAACTGCTGTGGACGGGAAACCTCATTATCATAAAGTTGTCCATTCTTACCAAATCTATAATTGTAGCACACTTCCAACCAAAATCCCAACAGGGATTTTGTGGAAGTTGATAAGCAGATTCTAAAATACAGGGAGGAACCAAAAGCCAACAATAGCTGAGATAATTTTGAAGAGCAAGATGGGAGACTCACTCTACCAGATACTGAGATTTACATTAAAGTAAGATAATATGATGTTGGTGTAGTGATAGACAAGTGAACCAAAGAAATGAAAGAGCATGGAAATTGGTCTGGATACATAATGACAAATAGCATGACAAATCAATGAGGAAAGGATAGACTTTTCCATAAGGCGGCAGGGACAACTGGTTAACCACATGGGGGGGGAAAAACAACCACCATAAAATCAGATCCAATGGAAACGTCTGTCCCTGCAAATAAAAACTTGAGACCACTGTGGCATGACATCTGTTCGTTACAGCCAGGATTTTTGTTGCAAATAGAACCACAGATCACTAGAGCTTAGAGGACTTCTACAATATTGAGCCCAAGCCCCCCACTGTTTTTAGGGGGACATGGAAGAAGGTTGGGTCTTCCTCAAGATTACACAGCAAGTCAGTAATAGAGTTGGGTCTAGAACCTAGGTCCTCCTACTCTTTCCATGCATTCTGGCCAGCTCTCCTGCCCTGTTGTGACCCCTTAGCTCTGCACAGGGCTAGAATAAAGAGGGGTGTGGAAGGGGCAGGTGCTGGATGGGGGCAGAATTGAAGACAAAGGTCAGTGCCTCTTCAGAGCTAGGTTGTGGGAAGGATGAGCCTGCCACTTGGGTTGGGTCACCTTCCAGTTTTTGGAATTAGTCCTTTGACGATTGTGCTAAGGATACAATGACAAGAATATCGGGTAAAGGACCTATTTCTGCCCACTGCTCAGGGGAAAGAGGAAGGTTTCCAAGAGACCCAGCTCAGCATAGCTGATTTGGGCCTTTCTCTCTAGAGAGAGTGGTTGGCTCAACGATGAAAATGAAGCTCTATTTTTGCAAGGCGGTGCAGTACAACAGGGAAGATATTGGGCTCTTGGGTCTAATGCACCTCGTTTCAAATGCAATACCACCACTTCCTGGCTGTGTGACCTTGCACAAATCTCTTTGCCTGTCTGAACCTCAGTTTCTTCATCTGACATAGAAATAATAATCATTACCTCAGGTTGGTTGTGAGGATTCGACGCAGCAATGCTTATGCTTTGGAGCAGCACCTTACTTGGACAAGGTGAAATTTGAATGATGTCAAAAGTATCCTGGACTGCTATTGCATTAAATGAAGCACTTGGATTGCAATTAGGGATCACATTATACCAAAAAAAATGTATATCTTTAAATATTAGAACCAGGCATGCCTGGGTGGCTCAGTCGTTAAGCGTCTGCCTTCGGCTTAGGTCATGATCCCTGGGTCCTGGGATCGAGCCCCGCTTTGGGCTCCCTGCTCAGCGGGAAGCCTGCTTCTCCCTCTCCCACTCCCCCTGCTTGTGTTCCCTCTCTTGCTGTGTCTCTCTCTGTCAAATAAATTAATAAAATCTTTTAAAAAATTATTAGAACCATATTCAATGCAGTAGGAAACTCGCATCAAAAAAGGCACCCAGATACCAAAGACCAAATGCAATTGAAGATTTCCATCTTTTGCTCTGTCTCTAGAGAAGTCATTGAGCAGAAGGAGACATAGTTGCCAGCACTAGTGAAATTCATCAGTTAAGATGAATGAAGATCACGCATCAGTTAAGATCTATTAGCACAGAGCTGGCACATAAATGAATGTGAGCCAGCAATAATGTAGTTGATGTTGATATGATTTTTACCGACTCTTCCAAACTTGGTCAACTGAGAACATTTGAAAAGAACTCTGGATTGGTGGAGGGAACAGGTGTATTGGTTTCTTTTTGTTTGTTTGTTTGCTTACAGGCACTACTATTACAACCCAAGGGGTTGAGTCAAATACAGCAGACTCCACAAAAGTCTCTGTGCCTAAGGGGCCTATAGCGTGCTCATTGACAACCTTGGCTCTAACCAACAATGGGAGAGACAACGTCTCTGTGGTTCCACTTAAGCCCTCAGCAACAATCAGGAGGACAGCAATGTCAGCGTCCCAGAAGAGTACAACACCAGATACTCCTCTCACTTCACCACAAGCCAACAGCTCTGCTGTCCCACTGAGCAGAAAACCCCAATACTTGAGACTCAGGAGGAGAGATCCAAAAACACAGCCTTGTCTAGCATGGCCACTTCAGCTAAGCCCTAAAATAGAATCACAGGGTTCCAACCACAGCCCCATTAGCATCAAGCTCCATAATCAATGGATTGGAATCATCAGTGTCCATTGACTCTCAGATATCAGCCACGATGATCACAGTTCTAACAGCATTAAACATACCAGATGAGGACATCATATCAGTGAGGTCCATGACAGCCACTGTGTCTGAGAAGTCAGCCACAACGATTTCCCAGACGACACTGAACAAGATCACTGATGTGAAAGAATCTCTACCCATGGGGCGCCTGGGTGGCTCAGATGGTTAAGCGTCTGCCTTCAGCTCAGGTCATGATCCCAGGGTCCTGGGATCGAGTCCTGCATCGGGCTCCCTGCTAGGCGGGGAACCTGCTTCTCTCTCTGCCTCTGCCTCTCTCTCTCTCTCTTTCTCTCTCTCTCTCTGACTCTTATGAGTAAATAAATAACACATTAAAAAAAAAAAAAAAAGAATCTCTACCCACGACAACCAGTGCAGTCGTCCACACCACTTCACTAACCCTGACCATCCTCGGGATGACTGTTCCTGGAACAACCACGTCTGGGACTCAGCAAGGAGACACTACAGCTGCACCCCCAGCCCCAAGAATAGCCCTCATGAGGAGCATCACAGCCCTGCCACAC